TAGATAGGGACAGTCAGCTTAAACATTGGCTACCTAAAATGAGGGGCAATAAAGGCACAAAGTGACTGGCTTACAAGGTTTCAAGAGGGAGTTTAAGAGTATGAGGGGGAAGAAAGAGTCCCCAAGAGTTTACATCTTGTCTAGATGGGTCTGGTGAAAAGCAATGAGCATAGGATTCGTGTGATTCATTAGTGAATAATTGTTATCATGACTAATTGTGACTGTCACAATTGTAAAGATAGAAGGTTTGTAACAAAAACAGGGGAGTGCTTAATCTTACAGTCCAGAAACAGAGGACCCTAGGACTATCAAGGGAGAAGAGCACAAGCAGACTGTGGGACCTTATCCAGAGAAGCAGCTAAGCCGGAGACAGAGGCAGAGATGGGGTCATGCAGAGGGAGAGCGGCTGAGGACTCTAGATTTATGGGAAGAGAGGGACTAAGAGCTGGTGGCCAAGAGGCTGACTTGCAGAATGTGTCCTTTGGAGATGTAAATCATTATATATGCCTGAGTGGGTTTTTTTGTTTTTGTTTTAAAAAAAGCTAAAGTGACTAGAGAGTAATACTGTTTACTGATGGTACGTGGAGGGGATTATAATATTGTTAATGAAACAAGGTGTATGATTTGTTGAATGTAAAATTGATGATCTGCCCTGTAAACTTTCACTCAATGCACAATAAAAACCTTAAAAAAAAAAAGATTAGTTGGTAGCTGCTTATTAGAGGAGTCAAGGGACAGGGCAACATTAGATAATGAGAATAGATAATATGCTGCCAAGGAAAACAGACAAAAGAGCTCAAAAAGCCTAGAACTCTAGGACTGTTTGAAGGTAGAAAGAAAATGGTCCTCTAGTCCTGTAGCCCTTGGGGGCATCCCAGATTTACAGAAAATATAACTGATGATCATAAGCTTAATCACGAACCATAAAGAACAGCCTTTGTTCCATGTCGGAAATTATATAGTTTATTTTAGGAACCTTTTTTACCAAAAATCGTTGAGATAAAAGTGTTTTGTTTTTTTAGAGGGGAAGTATCTTAAAGATATATTTGAGAAAATGTACTTACATAAAGTCCCTGTTTTATATTTAGAGAAATATATATAGATGGAGCCTCAGTTTCTTGATGTATATACATGAAGTGTCAGAATATTTTAGACTGTCTCGTGCTTTATTTTGATTTAGTATGTTTGAAGTATCAGTATTCTTCAGTGGATAACAAGGACGGGAACATTTTTGTTTTTGTGTTTTGAAACCTTCCTTTTATTAT